ACAATCTGGTTCTCATTCTTTCTAAAGAATCTACACTCTCAGGGCCCCTGGGTGGCTCAATCAGTTGAATATCTGCCTTCAGCTCAGGTCATGACTACAGGGTCCTGGGATTGAGCCCTGCATCAGGGCTCCCTGCTCAGCAGGGAGTCTGCCTCTCCCCTTGCTCATGCTCTCTCAAATAAATAAATAAAATCTTAAAAAAAAAAAAAAAAGAATCTACACTCTCTGGAAGATCTATGATCTACGATTCTTTTCTTTTTAATGTATCAAAATTACATTATCATGCGTCTAGGTATAGAATTAAAAAAAAAATCCTGACAACCCTCAAATTTCCCTTTCCAATGTGTGTTCTAAGGATTTCAGTCTTTGGTTAGTTTTAGAAATTGTTCTTAGAATATTTCTTTGCATATTTACTATTCTATCTGTTCCTTCTTTGTAGAATTTGAACCCTCTGTGATTTTGTCCTACATATTGGAAGAAATGCCTTGGCTCAGTTTCCCAGGTTATTATTTTAGTCTTTGACTGTGAAAATTCTACTTAACTCATTTTTTTTGTCATTTTAAAATCAAAATTTTAATTTCTGGTATCTCTGGTTAGTTTTTTCCAAAATGAATGCACTATCCTCCGACATCTCTAAAGTTTTTCACATTTAATCCATTTCAATCTCCTTTCGATGTGACTTTCTACACTGCAGACACTAGAAAGTTTAAGATTTAGTTTCCTAGACTCTACTGCAGCAAAGTTTCTGGATTTAGGATCTGCCAGTTATGGACCATTATTTGAGAATTGGAAAGTAGAAGTGTGGCAGAGTCTGTAAGTACTATTACTTCTCTTATTTGGTAAGCATGATCACAGAGGTACACAGTCGTTCTGTAGCAGTGCTATCGGAAGTCCATCACTAGAGCTTATGGGTACTGGGGGCCAGACAAGGGAAATCCATTTTGCTGGTATGGGTCCCCACAGGTACACCATGACTTCAGAGCCAGCAGCAGTAGCAGCAGCTTCCCAATTCAACAATTCCTAGTGCGAGAAGTGGCCACTGCTCCCTCCATGGTCTGGACGTCTGATGTGGCTTTGGGAGGCATTCCTGAAAGTTCAATCTAGAGTCTGTTTCTTAGGCCATCACAAAGATTCTCTAAGCTGTTTAATGTCCTGTAATAAATTCTTTTCTGCCTAAAGCAGTAAATTCTGTTTTCTGCAACTGAGCCGATGTAAGTAGGAAAGTACACATTTACGTTTGTCAGCTTTAATCCCATTCCAGCACTTTTAAGTAGTATTGACTATTCAAACTATTTTGTCAATTTTCTTTTAAGTACTCTTCACTATCTTTTTTTTTTTTTTAAGATTTTATTTATTTGACAGAGAGAGACACAGCGAGAGAGGGAACACAAGCAGGAAGAGTGGGAAAGGCAGAAGCAGGCTTCCCGCCTAGCAGGGAGCCCGATGAGGGGCTCGATCCCAGGACCCTGGGACCATGACCTGAGCGGAAGGCAGATGCTTAACGACTGAGCCACCCAGGTGCCCCACTATCTTGTTTTCTACTTTCTTTTCTTTCCCTCAAAAGGAAGGCATAGGTTACCATTATTGAGAGTCAAAGGGGAAATTTTTTAAAATTCAAGTTAAAAATAGTCTTGCTATTGACTATTGATAATAAAATAGCATACAGAAAATATTGTCTTTTCTGTTAAATTAAAAGCTTCTTGAAGAAAAGGAACATATCTCTCTTGCTCAATCCACTACCCAAAATTAGCGTGCAGATGTTTCTTTACTGACTGATGGAACAGTAACTGAAAAAGGATAGGAAAAAAGCCATTAAAAACTTTTCAGCACTTTTAAAAGAATTTAAATGGAATATTATGTCACCTTTAAAACAGCAATGCAGATGTTTATGTGCTGACATGGAAGGATTAACAAGATATATAGTAAATCTCCATCTGTGTAAAAAATTCATGTATATATGCTTATAAATGTATAGAACATATCCCTAGGAAGCTACGTAGCAAACCGGTCACCGTGGTTGCATTCGGGAGGGTACCTAGATGGTTGAGGGCTAAAGGTGAGAGGGAGTCTTTTTTTGTCTCAATAAGCTCTTTTATTGAAGTACAGAACATACAGAAAAGTGTACAGATCATAATCATATAACGCACTGAGGTTTTTTCCCATCTTAAGCATTTTTAAATGAACAGTTTAGTGTTAAGTATACTCACATTGTTGTGGAAAGGGAGTCTTTTAACCTCTTCTGTAGGTTTTGTTTTGGCCATAAGCATGTATTACATATTCCAAAAACACACTTTTGAAAATGTAAAGTACCTTGATACCTTATAAAATAAGGTATTAATTACCAAATATTGGATGTTACTGAATTTTAAGATTTAAAAAAAACTTTTAAAGTCTTCTAGTGCACATGTAAATATGGAAAATTGATATGGGAAAAGAGTTCTGGAATTCCAAATCATATGCAAATGTTCACTCCAGGCTGTATAAATGTGTTTTTCTTTCTTAATAGTAATAAAGCTTATCTCAGCAAATCCCACTAAAATTATGCCAATTTATCTTATTCTGTGAAAACCCTAAAGTATATTAGCTTGTCAAAGTTTGTGGTGAGACGCTACTAAATTTTATGTTTTAATAAAGTAATATTTCCCGTTATTAATTACGCATTAGTTTTAAAAATATGCTAAGGCAGAAACTGTACTCCAAAAACACTGTGTAGTTCTGAGGCCTTATTGCCGTGATTAAACTTGGAACAAAATTCCTGAGAACTGAATGTAGAAATTTGTTATATTGTTTTGAATGATTGCGTCTACCATATATGGTGCAAAGGTGAGGGTTTTTACCTTAAAGACTTTTTTTAAACTACTGTGGTTAACTAACACTGCTTTGCAGTTCAGAAACACAGTATCTCAGCAGTAAAGTTTTGCTAAAAATAAAGAACAAGGTGTCAATAGTTTCATCAATCACAATTTAATCTTCTCAGAAAGCAGTGCCATTGCCCAGGTACACTTGATGATATTAGAAAGTACTAAAAAGGGCGCCTGGGTGGCTCAGTTGGTTAAGCGACTGCTTTCGGCTCAGGTCATGATCCTGGAGTCCTGGGATCGAGTCCCGCATCGGGCTCCCTGCTCGGCGGGGAGTCTGCTTCTCCCTCTGACCCTCCCCACCTCATGCTTTCTCTCTCTCTCAAATAAATAAAATCTTTAAAAAAAAAAAAAAAAGAAAGTACTAAAAAATAAAAAGATGGGTATTCTCTAAATAAATCTCATAGGGAGGCTGTATATGAGAGTGTTTCTAGACCGCTTTGTTCTATAGATCTGTTTATTCTTGTCCAATATCAATTGTTTTAACGGAAACTGTTAAATAGAAAAATGTAGTTAACAATGACTTAAATATAAATAGGTCACCTGCATACCTGACCAACGTGATAATTTCCAACCACCTCCGCATAAGGACCACTCTGGTCTGGATGATTGATAACCACTTTACAAATCACTTGTTTGACAAATCCATGTTCTAAAAAATTGTAACATGTCAGTACTCTCACTTCTCCGTTTGCACTCCTGCCGTAACTCTCTTGTCCTCTACAAACCAACCCACTTAGGAACACTGCTGTACTTTCCAGCCTCTGTCCTGCTCACTGACAAATTTTATGCAAAGTCATAAAAGGAAAGTGCTCTCTCCAGTGTGGGTGCAGGTTGAAGATACTCTTACTGCAATTGAATACAAAAATTTCTACAGGAAAATTATTCTTATTCGAATTAGTAACTGAATCTCTCAGAATGAAGAGTTGCTTTAGATAAATGTTGGGTATTAACTGGAAAAACGTAATTGTACTAAATTCACTCAGGAAATATAAAATGAAGACACCAGACATTAGCTTTATTTAAGTATTATACATACCTCATTCTTTCCAACTAAAAACAAACTCTAACATATTAAGAAAAAAACAAGTAAAGATATTATACATACGATACAGAAAAATATCATAAATAAAGTCATTTTTCCATGAATTCTTGTGGGATTTTTAGTTTGGGATTTTTGTCTTATTGATAAGAGTGACAGGTGCAGAAAATTTAACAGACTACTATTCCTAAATTTACCACCTGTTAAAGGTTTCAGAATCACTACTCTAACAGAATTGTAGGCAACTAGCATTATAAGGAAGTTGTAACAATTTAAAAATTAATGGATCAATGGCACAGAATGAGAAACTTAGGTTTGAACACACTGGAGAGCAGAAAGGGAGTTGTTTTATGCTTTCAAAATCAAGATGTGAAGATCAAGTTAGTTTATAATTAAGGAATCAGAATTTGGTGTCTGGATCTCCCACTTTTTACTTAAAGGAACAGAATTTCAAGTAATTCCAAGACCCATAAAGAGTTGTCTAAGAAACAATTTTTTAATTCTTACCTCAAAAACTAGATTATTCCAAAGTATTTCATATCTAGATGATACTTAATGCCAAATGATGCCAAGCAATTGGAATTATTTTAACTTTTATTACATGTGATATGGTACTGTGGTTATGTAAGATAACCATATTTTTTCAGAAATGTATTTGGAAATACATAGGGGTTAGATGACAAGAAATCTGGGATTTGCTTTAAAATACATTTGAGATATCAGCAGAAATAGAGATGGATAAAACAAGTATAAATTTTGAAATTCTGGGTGACAGATACACAATTGTTATACTTTTGTAGTATATGTTTGAAATGTTTCATTAAAAAGTTTTAAAGAACAAAAAGAAATAGAACTATGTGGAGTTAAAGGATTTCATACCACCTGATATTTTTTTTTTAATTTTTTAAAAAGATTTTATTTATTTATTTGACAGAGAGAGACACAGCGAGAGAGGGAACACAAGCAGGGGGAGTGGGAGAGGGAGAAGCAGGCTTCCAGTGGAGCAGGGAGCCTGATGCGGGGCTCGATCCCAGGACCCTGGGATCATGACCTGAGCCGAAGGCAGACGCCCAATGACTGAGCCACCCAGGCATCCTCACCTTTTGCTTAGAGCTCCATATTCACTGGACATTTATAGCTTAGAATATGGGTAGCAGTGTAGAGATTAAAATGTTCATTCTTATTGATATGCAGTCACTTAAGAAAACCAGTCAACTTTCCCTTTAGATACGTGGATGAGATTCAACTGCAAAGAACAAAAATACTTCAGAGAATACTAGATTTTGTTCTGTGAATAAGTGAGTATTCAGCAGCTATTATTTTCCTATAGAAACATAATTTAGTGAGATTTATTTTTCTGATTGCATTATAATTGGGCTACAAATTCAACAACTAAATGTGGCCCATTTACTGTGTTGCCCAGGTTTTTTCTTTATTTAAATAGAAGTAGGTATATATTTATATGTAGAACAACTGTTAAAAACGTTTTTATTTTTTGAGTGACATGAACAAAAGGTTGCTTGTTGGAAAAAGCATTAAGACAAAATTGTGCTCACAGTCTGGCTTTTGCACCTGTCTAAACCATTCAGGAAGAAATCTGCCTGGGCCCTGAAGTAAGTTCAATTCTTGTCTACCCAGAACAGCAGCTGCTCAAAGATAAGACTAAAATTTCTCTAGTTCAAGCTTGAATTCTTTTTTATCAAAGCCAAAAATCTCTTGTGGTAGCAAGGAACAATTTTATTATTTTTAAAATTAACCTAATGCAGTTTCTTTTCTCAGGTGAGAAGTCAATCATTTTTATATTTTTCTACCTATTCATATTATTCTCTTGAAAATTAATGTTTCATTCTAGGAAAATAAATTGGAAATATGACTAGGCTCTATAAGCTTCATACATTATATACCGGTCATTTCATATATATAAACTAGTCTAAAGTAATAATTTGAAATGTGGTTAAAGATTTAAATGAAAAATACTCTTCATACATCCACAGTATGCAATATTTTGCAGACACTAAACTCATACTTTGGAGAATATCTAAAGACTAGGAAAATGATTGTGGTATATGTAGAGGAAAATAGTATATTTATGATCATAAAGCTTTGTTCTGATTTTAGAAAATATTTTTCATATAAGGAAAATGGAAACAAAATACACCGAAATGATAAAATCTTGGTTGCATGATTTCCTTTACCAAACTTTCTATAGTTTTCAGATTTTCCATGAGGATGCATTTTCATTTAAATCAGAAAAAATTTACTTATGCTATTATGATAGCCATACTATCTCTTTTAGGATTGCACCACAACCAAACAGAACGATATTTGGCACCAAATGTACCTTTTCTACTCCATATTATTTATCTATCACAAGCTATGAAAAATAAAGTTTGCCCCCCCCCACCAAAAAAAAAAAAAAACTTAACTCTTAGATTGGGAATAATTTCAACATAAAAGGTTTTTTTTTTTTAAGGGATAGTAAGCTTTACTTCCAAATAAGGTCCTGTTTTTAAGACTCTCTCAAATATATAAATATATTGACCAGTTACAATTTTATTTGGCCAGTACAATAAAGTAAAAAGCAATTTATTCTTTATACATAAGGGTCTCAGATAATTGACATGGCATTCCCAGTCATCAAGAGAAATTCCTTCCTTCCACTATACATAGTGGTGGCAAAAAGCTTATCAGCAGATTGTTATGGCTTTCTTGATCATAAAGAAATGTTCTTAGTTCCAATGAGGTGTAAAGGTCCATAAGGAAAATACATTCATTAGGTGATCCAAGTTTTGACACTAGAAATAATGCATATTACATTCATAAGAGAATCTTGAGGGCATGGGCCATAACTTCTACAAATTTATAATAGAGTCCACAGCATTAGGCATATAATAGAAACCCAAGAAATATTTGAACGAATTAATTTCCACAGGCAATTCTTTATTTCCCCACTGTTTAGAGGCACAGTTTAAAATGGTGGTGTGGCAGAAGCCTTTTATATTAAAAGGGTTGTAGGAATGACTATGGCCCCCTCTCATCCTATAAGCACTCCCTTACTTTTTTGTGGATATTTACAATGTTCAGGGATAGAACTAAGCATTTTATGATTAGATGCTACCAAATGGCATTCCTTGATCCAGCAACTATGTCATACTCATGCTGTGCTCCTTGGCTCTGAATTCAATGGTTTATACCTACACAGAAAGCCCCAAAAGTCTACCTTAGAAATTCTTTCAGTTCATAGTGCCTCATTCTATCAAATATGATCTTGAAATCTGCAAAGTTCATTTATAAGAAACATATACATTAAAATATTTCCGAGAACAAATTTCTAGGTGCTAATAGTCACAGAAGCTGTTAGGTGTCTTAACATAAAATGAAATCCTGAAAATCAAAACCTTAAATTTTAGCTGAGTACTCTCAAGCCACCTTTATTAAATGATTAAAATTGGGAGGTTTATGTGGCAGAATACTAATTAGCACCAAACTATGTCATCTTGATGGAAGACCCTACCTCAGACTTTAAGTCTGAAAACAAGTATGTGAGTAACCCTGAACATTTCATTGTTCACAAAAGCTTATTTAGAAAGGTGATTTTATTTCCTGTTTTATGACAATATTCTCAATCAAGAAAATATCAGTCAAGGCCTGTCTTGTACAAGGAATATATTCACTTTCAACTCAGTTAGTGAGTAAGTCAAAGCCAGTGTCCTTGAACTACCTCCAAAGGGCAAAATAATTTTTTTTAATTTAAAAAGATTATAGATATGCAATTTTTAGCTCCTGCTAAGACCAAAGAGATGGAAAAATAACATCCTGTGAATATATGTAGGGGTTCTTTGACCAAAGACTAGTCATCATACATAGGTTGCCCTTAAGGAAATGTTAACGATTTATAATAAAAAATAAGGCTGATAGATTTGCCAACCTGCTTCTGAGCCTTTAATATCTAATACCTGATATGTGGTAACATAGCTATTCTCTGTAGCTCGCATGATCAGACTTTCATTTCTGCAGGTCAGAAGATTCAAAGTTCATATTCTGCACAAAGTAGAAATTTTTAGACTGTACCAGATATAGGTAAACTTTAATACGAAATAATCAATGTTTTTAGGATATAGGATAGATGTCAAAATCACTTGAACTTCAAATTAATTTTCCTGCCCATACATATGTATTTCTGTTTCTTCTTAAGCAAATATAAATGGGAAGGGAAAGTAGTATTCTTGAGAGTAAACTGCATGCCAGAAGTGCCAGCTTTTAGCTTTTGTGTCTTCAACGAAATTACAAGTATTATTTACTTAAGAAGGTGTATATGAGGATATACTGTATGGCAACTTTCACTGAATTTCAGCTCTGCAACATCAGGTACAAAAAAAAAATTCTAAATATACAATAAAACACTAAACTTCAACATATCACTTTTAAAGTTTCCTTTTAATTTTCTGATGAAACATTTGAGGTACAACATTTACAGTAAACACTGAAAATGAACATATTTGAATTCAAGACTATAGATTTTAATTGGTTTTTTTACTCAAATCTTTTAAACATCTGACTATTTGATTACAGTATTTTACATCTCAAATTATTTAATAATTCTAAGTTTATATCCAAAAAGTATTTGCCCACTTTAGAATACTTTGTAAATTAGTAGAGTGTGCTTATATTGACATCCTTGATATACTGAACTGATGGTTATTTAGACAATGGTAGTGTTCAAATTAGAAAGTGTCAACATCAACAACAGCATATGCTGAGTGCAAATACTTTCAGCAATTAACTAAATACCAAATTAACTACAATACAGAGTGTAAAGGACACCAGATTATCATTAAACAATATTTACTGAATACTTTCTAAATGTCAGGTATTAAGTTAGCAATAAAGGAACCCAGTGACACATTATGTTAGCAATAGGGCTAATATTCATACAAAAGATGGTGGGCATGGAACCCTTCTGTGTTCTTTAAGGTCAATGAATGATTTGATAAGGAGTCTGTAACCTTTAAGAATATCTTATGTTGGATTTATGTTAAGTAATGGATACTCACTTTGTTTGGGGTTAGTCAAATGACAGATTACTTGAAATAAATAGAAACACACATTCTCTTTCTTCCTTACTCCCCCCTCCATCGTGTTTACTCTCTCAACAGTTAATTGTGGAGCAACGAAATTATAAGCATGCATCTGTTTTATAAAGTTAATTATAATAATTTTATCCTAAATTTTTATGACATGGCTGTCTGCATTTGAAGAAGGCTACGAAGAGTGATGACTGAAAGACCCACTGACATATAACTGACGGTCCTTTCCCTCCTAAGCACAGGGAAGAGTGTTCTTTGATGTATGCCTACTATTTGTGGTCTGTTACTATTTCTGATCCTGACTCTTGGGTTCATTGCCTTTGCTCAGTTACCCAAGAGTTTAAATTACACTTTTGCTAGACGTTTTTAAAAAGGTACTAATTATACTCTCACAGTTTAGTTAAGGCCATTGCTGTTTTTGATATACTGAGGACATAATGCAACTCAAAAGTTGTCATAATCAAGAATTCTTAACTATTACCCACTGTAGTGGTCACAATTACATAAGAATCATTTCAACAGCTCAACTAATCCCTACTCTGAGACTTTTAAAAGAGCAAATCGGAATACAGCACAAAATTTAAAATTTGTTGAAATGGCATTAATTGTAAATGTCCCAAAAGCTCCTAAACAAGTTAACTAAAACAGCCTAATAAATTTGCCTGAATCCATACACCCCTTAATTGTAATTTACAACCTTTAGAATGAAATGTTAATCATTTTATTTTTCTATGTTAATTATTTCATCTCTTTTTACCATTAATTATCCTTTCAATTGTCACTTTTATGTTATTTGGTTTAAAAATAATACTAACACATGTAAGCCAACACAATATTTTCCTTTAAAAACAACAATACTATGTAGAAAACTACTGACATTTTAAACTTAAAAAAAAAAATGTCTAGGAGTTGCATAGATGGAGAATTTAATCGATCAAAATAAATTAGGACACCAAGTCAAAGTTCAAACTGGCAAAACACTTGGGCAAAAAAGTAGCACAAAGCTTCCCGTCTTAGGAATCCAACTAGTTTGTAATCATTTTTATATAACCGCCAAAGCAAGAACTAAAACAAACAAACAAGGGGATTAACATAAGAATAAAAAAATTAAAAAAAAAAGAAAAAAAACAAAAAAACAAAAAAAACCAAACAAACAAAATCCCAAAAAACAAAAAAACACCCACACCCCCACACAAGAAAACTCGATTATAATGAAGCAACTAATTAAGTTCTGGATGCCTTGTTCCTAAGGCATCACGTTAATTCACTTGGAACTGTCCACAGATTTGGCATTTGTTTACCTGAGGTGTTAAATGCCCCCACTCTCTGCTTCCCTGCCCTATTTGCACTTCGGAGAGAGGAGTCCCTTTACAAACAGGACTAGCTTTGTAACAAAGCAAGCAAAGAAAACAAACAGTGCACTCGGCAACCTCAACCACTTCGACGTGACAGCACAACTCTCCAACTTGCTGCGCTCTCAGAAGTGCGTATTTATGAAAACGCTGTTTTAAAAATGTGTTCCTTTTCAAACAGTTGTCATCTCAGAAGACCTTCCCTGCCTCTCATTTGGAACTGAAACGGGCGTGGAAAGGGTCCCGTCAGCGTCTTTCTCACCACAAGTTCCACCTGGAGGGCAGTTACCGTCACCTGCAAGGCGCTGCGGCTGCGAAGGCGGGCCTCCGAGCGCGGGAACCAACCCGGACACCCCAAGTCCGGCCAAGTCGAGAGCAGCGGGCACTTGGGGCCGGCTCGCACCTCTCCCCACCTCACGCTCCCCAATCCTTCGCTCCCCTCCCTCCCACGTCCCCAGTTCTTCTCCCTCCCTCCCACACCCCTAAATCTTCCTCTCCCTCCTCAACCCCCCAATCCTTCGCTCCCCTCCCTCCCACACCCCTGAATCTTCCTCTCCCTCCTCAACCCCCCAATCCTTCGCTCCCCTCCCTCCCACACCCCTGAATCTTCCTCTCCCTCCTCAACCCCCCAATCCTTCGCTCCCCTCCCTCCCACACCCCTGAATCTTCCTCTCCCTCCTCAACCCCCCATCCTTCGCTCCCCTCCCTCCCACACCCCTGAATCTTCCTCTCCCTCCTCAACCCCCCAATCCTTCGCTCCCCTCCCTCCCACACCCCTGAATCTTCCTCTCCCTCCTCAACCCCCCAATCCTTCGCTCCCCTCCCTCCCACACCCCTGAATCTTCCTCTCCCTCCTCAACCCCCCAATCCTTCGCTCCCCTCCCTCCCACACCCCTGAATCTTCCTCTCCCTCCTCAACCCCCCAATCCTTCGCTCCCCTCCCTCCCACACCCCTGAATCTTCCTCTCCCTCCTCAACCCCCCAATCCTTCGCTCCCCTCCCTCCCACACCCCTGAATCTTCCTCTCCCTCCTCAACCCCCAATCCTTCGCTCCCCTCCCTCCCACACCCCTGAATCTTCCTCTCCCTCCTCAACCCCCCAATCCTTCGCTCCCCTCCCTCCCACACCCCTGAATCTTCCTCTCCCTCCTCAACCCCCCAATCCTTCGCTCCCCTCCCTCCCACACCCCTGAATCTTCCTCTCCCTCCTCAACCCCCCAATCCTTCGCTCCCCTCCCTCCCACACCCCTGAATCTTCCTCTCCCTCCTCAACCCCCCAATCCTTCGCTCCCCTCCCTCCCACACCCCTGAATCTTCCTCTCCCTCCTCAACCCCCCAATCCTTCGCTCCCCTCCCTCCCACACCCCTGAATCTTCCTCTCCCTCCTCAACCCCCAATCCTTCGCTCCCCTCCCTCCCACACCCCTGAATCTTCCTCTCCCTCCTCAACCCCCCAATCCTTCGCTCCCCTCCCTCCCACACCCCTGAATCTTCCTCTCCCTCCTCAACCCCCCAATCCTTCGCTCCCCTCCCTCCCACACCCCTGAATCTTCCTCTCCCTCCTCAACCCCCCAATCCTTCGCTCCCCTCCCTCCCACACCCCTGAATCTTCCTCTCCCTCCTCAACCCCCCAATCCTTCGCTCCCCTCCCTCCCACACCCCTGAATCTTCCTCTCCCTCCTCAACCCCCAATCCTTCGCTCCCCTCCCTCCCACACCCCTGAATCTTCCTCTCCCTCCTCAACCCCCCAATCCTTCGCTCCCCTCCCTCCCACACCCCTGAATCTTCCTCTCCCTCCTCAACCCCCCAATCCTTCGCTCCCCTCCCTCCCACACCCCTGAATCTTCCTCTCCCTCCTCAACCCCCCAATCCTTCGCTCCCCTCCCTCCCACACCCCTGAATCTTCCTCTCCCTCCTCAACCCCCCAATCCTTCGCTCCCCTCCCTCCCACACCCCTAACTTCTCTCCTCCCCCCCCCTCGCACGCCCTCAAGTCCTCTTCTCCCCCCAAGCCGCCTCCTGAAGTTACTCAAATTCCCCCTCGCCTTCCCCACAGTTTTCGCGCACTTTTCCCTTAAAATAGCTCCCTTCAAGATCCCTCAACTCCCGCGCGACCGCGGGCTCCCGTCCCCCCACACTCACGAGAAGAAGGGATCATCCTCAAAGCTGCTGCTCAGCATCCCGAACATCGTGGCTCTGTCCCGGGCGGCGGCGGACGCGGACAGATTGGAAAACGGTGCGACTCGCCGCGGCCGCGACCCGAGCCAGCCTTCCCCTCGCAGCCAACGCTCCTCGCCCGGCTGCGAAGGCGGTGCCCGCCGCGAAAGGCGATGCGTGGCGCCGAGCTGCTTTCCCATTGGGCGCTGGTCTCCTGGCGTCACTAGGACGAGGCGGGGAATAAAGCGCCGCTGCCATGGCAACTGCCGTCAACAGTGGAGGCGAGAGGTCTGGCTTCCCGCCAGCCAGGCGACGAAGCGTTCTGAGGGACGAGATCGCTTTTTCCCGGGGCTGCAGGAGCACAAAAATTAGACCACCTTCTGCGTGACCTTGGGCAAATCGCCCTCGGCCTCGAACCCCGACTCTCTTTTCGGGAAAGTGGAAATGGGCCAAGATTTGGGCTAGATGGCTTCCAAAGATGCATTCATATGCCGCAATTCGTGATCCACGGGAAAGTCTTATATCCAAAACACTTCCGTGGTAGTTGGTCAAAAGCTGTGCACAAATACTGAGAATAAATGTGCAACAAGTTTTTGAGTACAGTTAATAATGTACTCAGTGCTTGCTTGAAGGAAATGAGGCTTATAAAATTTCACAAGCTTCTTTGCCTTATGTGAGTCTAAGATTCAAAGCAATATTTCCCAAAGTGAGAATGCTTAAGTTTTATATAGACATGATATTTAAAAACAAGATGAGCAAGTTGCTCTCTTTTTGGTCCTCTTTCCAGTCTCCATTTCAAGGAAGAAATCTCACTTTGATGCAGTCCGTCTTGTACACTTCTCCAGCATTCCTTAACCTAATACAGTAGGACTCAGACACAAGGCCTGCACCATATCCGACTAAAATTCCATTACTATATAGTTTTGTTTTAATTATATTTATGTGTGAGCCTTCTGTTTATGGCAAGTGAAAATTGTTTTAAATTTAAAGCAGTGCTATACATCAATAACTAGTCTTTACAAATGTAAGTGAAAAAGTGAGCTAATTTAAGGAAATAGTACAGGTGGGATTTGGACATAGTGCGAGGGAAGGATATATGACAGTGGTACTCCTATTAATAAGTTTTGGAAAACTCTGTCCTGAGGCCTTCTATTAGTCTAAAGGCAGGTGGAGGAGAAGGTAGAAGAGAGGACGTTAAAGAAAGAGAAGAATGATAAGAGTATAAGAAGAGAGAAGATGGACCTTGTATGTCTACCTTTAATACAGTGGGCTCCCCAGCTTCTCTAGGGGGCTGTCCTCTGGAGACAGAGGGCCATCCAGGGCTCCACAGGGCCTCCTGGGATTGGGCCAGAGAGGTGGCACTCTTCCAGCATGAAGAAGCATGCAGGACCTGATTTGAGGTGACAGGAGTACTCAGAGGTTATTTTGGGAGCTGGAAATTTAATCCTTTGGACCTCTTACCTCCACACCTTTAGCCAAGTTTGCTGGCAGCCTCCTTTTCCTGAGCCTGGTAGTGTGAGGTAGGGCAGATTTTACACTGTCCAAGTTAAGATAGCATAGCCTTTCCAGGGAATAGGCTATTTTCTTCTCCTCTGGCATCAGAATAAGTTCAGAGAGCATACACATATTAGGGATCTCTAAATTAGTTTCAAGGCAAAAAAAAAAAAAATTGTTTTAGAAGACTTGAAATTATTTTCTCTTTAATAGTACAACTCAAGATGTTGAGGGTCACATTGTTTAGAAACTAAAAACAGGGGTGCCTGGGTGATGCAATTGGTTAAGTGTCCAACTCTTGGTTTAGGCTCAGGTCATGATCTCAGTGAGGTTCCTGAGATCAAGCCCCACTTCTGGCTCCACGCTGGGCATGCAGCTTGCTTGCTTAAGTTTCTCTCTCTCCCTCTCCCTCTGCTCCTAACCACCCCCTAAAAAAAAAAAAAAGCATTCTTAAATGAAATGAGGTAGATTATTGGTGATAAATGACAGTATTAAAATAGCTTTGGGGGCGCCTGGGTGGCTCAGTCAGTTGGGTGGCTGCCTTTGGCTCAGGTCATGATCTCAGCGTCCTGGGATTGAGTCCCCGGTCAGTCTCCCTGCTCAGTGTGGAGCCTGCTTCTTCTCCTTCTGCCTGCCGCTCCCCCTGCTTGTGCTCGCTCTCTCTGACAAATAAATAAATAAAATCTTAAAAAAAAAAAAAAGTTTTGGATTAACACTGAATAAAGCGACTTGTAAGGAAAATTCCCCCCCCCCTGTTCCCATGGATATTTTTCTTAGACCCACAGTGCTGAAACCTGAAAGCTTTAGTCCAGGCACAGGTTAGTCACAGAGTTACCTGGAGATCCCAAAAACAATTTGGGTCTAATAGCAAATGCTTAAAAAACAAAAGGCTTAATGGAAGAAAGAGGAGAGTTGAAGTTGAAGAGACAGCATAGTTTCAGATCTGATGGGAAATGAAAGAAGAGGTAAGAGAGGATGAATACCCCAACAGGGAGCAATAGGGTCCTGGATTTGGCTGTAAATAGAATCACAATAGCTAATATTTATTGTGTGCCAGGCACTGTTGTAAGGTCTTCATGTGCATTGGCTCATTGAATCACTCCTAAGATTTTGTGGAGGGGAGATGGTTTTTATCTTCATTTATAAGTGATGCAAACAAAACACAGAGACGCTAAGTAAACTTCCAAGGTTCATACAGCTAGTTATTGAAAAGGGTTGGAGGCCTGGAGTTTTCCCTGGTGTGGCTGGTTGCATGGAATGTGGGTGATGGGCCACACTGAAAGATGCAGGATGAAAGCAGGTAATCATTTCTCAAAATCAAGTTGACGAACTAAATAATGGGTCCAAACTAAAAAGCATAAAATTCAGTGGGAATATATTTAAACTAACAATTCAATTTTACAAATATTTATTGAGTGCCTACCTTGGGTCAGGCACTGATCTAGACACTAAGGTGTTGGTGAACAAAACAGACAAAAATCCCTGTCCTGGAGTTTATATTCTTGTGAGTGCAGAATAAAAATAAATGGCATAGAAAGTAGTAGGTTAAAAGGTGATAGGTGTTGGGGGAAAAAACTGAGTAGGGTAAGGGGGATGGACTTGTGAATTATGAATGGGAAATCCTGTGTAGCCTACTTTGAGAAGGTAAATCTGAGGAGATTCACTGGAAGAAAATGGACATCTGCTGGAAAACATTCCAGATCTAATCAAAGATCCTGAGGTAGCATGTCCCTGGTATATATAATATACAGTCTATTCTTATATCCTGAAATTTGCCTTCAGAGGAAGGAGATGTGCTAAGTAAAGTGAAAATTATATATTGGGATAATATCTCCTATATATACTTCCTATGTTCCAGGCATTGCATTAAGTGGTTTACATACATTTTCTCATTTAATCCTTATAGCAATCCTGTATGCTAAGATGTTTATCCCATATTACATGTGAAAAAGCTGAGGCCCATCGAAATTTGTCCAATCAGTTCAAATCCAGATAGTCCTACCCCAAAGCTTATATTCTTGCCACCACCCTACTCTGCCTCCCTATAAAAAATTAACCATTTGCTGAGCACCTCCACGTACATATATAATCTTTAACTATACCACAACTTATGTCTCATTTGGAAGATCACTGCTTGAGTTGAGAAAATACAGAGAAAAGCATGAGACCCACGTCAACCTTACAACTCTATTAAAAACACCAAGAGTTCAAGTGTCAATGAGTCCTCTTTTCTTTCATCTATTAATACATCATCTATTTATTAAGGACCAATTATATACCAGGCACTATTCTAGGCACTGAGGATACAAAACTCCCTGGCCTCTTGGAGCTTGCATTCTAGCGGGCAGCTCTTTTAGCAGCTAATTCTGCAATTACCATTGTTACAGTACTTCAGACTTTTCAAAATGCTTTCAAAGACATTATCTCAAGTGCCCAAGAGAAATAAACAAGCTCTTAATGATAGGATTCATTTTCTTCTTAGTGCTTATCTTCTTTTCAGCCGGCCGTCTGACCAGTCCTACAATAGGTTTGCATTATCCCCGTATGAAAGGTGGGGGGATGGTGCATAGTGATCCAGTGACATCTAATAAGAGCATAGATCCCAAGGTCTTCAAAATCCCTGTCAGGGCCACCTCTGGTCTTTATGGCATCATTGTCCAAATTAGTAAAGGTGTCCCTCTCTCAAGATACATTCATCAGTGGTAAAATTGTTTCACAAACATACAAATCTACAGTATGTATGATATGACTGGCATTCCCTTAGGTGTTACACATTTGCCCATGGCAGCCCCACTCTCCAGCCTGAATGCTTCCCACCAGACAGGAGTTAATGAGTACCAAGCTCCAGCCACATCCTTGTAAGAAATGTCGATTTATTTTCCTGCAACTAAACTTAATTTATATTCTGGGTTCCCATCCCATTGGCACTGACCGCCCCCACCCCCCAACCAGGGAGAGGATGCCAGGCTGTAGTTGGTTGCCAAGCATGCTGTATCCCTGAAGGGGTCTGTTTTCCCCTCATTGGGTGGAGCCAAGGCCCCTGAGCATCTCAGAACGTGCAACAGCACAAAACCGTGCAGGGAAGAATTGTCGTCCCTAAATGCCCATAATGCCCTCTCCCTTTGAGAAATACACTCAGGTTTGTCTTCCAGTGACCTAGAAATTCAAAGCAACTTTGAGTTTACAGAAGCACTTTTCCAATATTAACTTCTTTTTGGTGCCTGCTACTGAGGCTAGGGCCTGGAGTTTTATTCACAACTGAACTATAAACAAGCAGCAGACTTTCTCAGTCATGTTTATTTTCCATCTCTGTGGATGTGTATGTTCATGGCTGGCTGTTTATTTTCCACAAACCATAACTGAGTTATTTTATTTGGAAAAATGTAGAGAATATGTCACCTTCTGGGATTTTGGTAACAATAATCTGCCTTTATGGAAAGATGCTTTAGGCAGCCTCCTGGGGGAGAAGTGGAAGCTCCAGGCCTTGGAGTGGGACTAACCTTCAGGTGGCTGACAGGGAGTTCTGGGGAGAAAAGCAAAGGAATGTTCTGTTGTAGTGATGGAAGGCCAGAGAGGATGGAGATATTAGAATAGGCAGCAGAGAGAGTGAAGACTCACTGTAGGG